GCCCCCGTACTTCCTGTCCCGTGGCCTGCCTGGCATGCCCCCAGGACTCAGGTTAGAACAGTCTGTCCAGATGGGCATCTCCTGTCCCCATGCCACTGCTCGGCTGACAGCTCTCTTCCTGCTTTTGTTTCCCAGGAAAGCGGGCTCAGGTGAGAGGCCCACAGGGAGGGGCAGGGGCAGGGCAGAGGGGGGCCGGTGGCTCCAGGCGGCTCTCCCTGCAGCCCTGCGGCCTTGTTCCCATGGAGCCTGAGCCACACAGCTTCTCTGCAGAGCCAGGGGCAGGAAGGGAAGGTGCCCAGAAAGAGAAAGCAAAGGCTGGCCCGAAGCAGCTGGGAGGGCAAACCCATCCTGCAGGTGAACGGCAGGAGAGGCGGCCTCTCGGGGCCCAGCTCACCTTCCAGAGGCTGGGCTAAGCCAGGGGCTGGTGCAAGGAGGCCTGGTCCATGGGGTAGGGGGGAGATAAGTTCAGGAAAAGTGTGGGATGGGCTGTGCTCTCTCTCAGGAAGGGAGGGAAGAGTGGCCTGGGAGGCAGGTGGCTTTTGTGTTCAGGAGGGGACATTCTGCAGGGGTGACAGGGACTTTGGAGAGCTAAGCCCCAACCACCTCCCAGCCCAAGGACAACCTCAAGAGGTGTCACAAGACCCAAACCAAGCCACACTTCCTCTCTGGCCCCTGGCGCTCCCCTCCCTGCCCCTCCCCTCCTGCCTCAGGTGGGTGCACTGCTGCTCCTTTCTTCCCCTCCCCCCAACCTTGCCAGCCTGCCACCTCTGTCCAGGAAGGAGGCAGCGGCAGGTGCTCCCACCTTTAGCTCAGTCAGAGTCGCCTTCCTGCCTCCCCCACCCCCACAATCCGTGGTTCTCACAGCGGGTGCTGAAGAGACCCCCTCAGTCTTGCTCAAATGCACATTCCTAAGCAGATGCTCAGGGATGCCGATTTCCTGGGGCCCAGGAACCTGCACTTATCAAAGGACCCCAGGGGTTCTGACCTCAGCAGCACCCTGAGACACTTCGATGTTATGGGTGACCCAACAGCCCAGCCACCTTCTCCCTCACCTCCATCAACGCACTGCACTGGCCCACGCTGTGCTCTGGAGGTGCGGTGTGTCTGCCTGTGTCTGCTGTCCCCTGGCCCGGGAGCTCCGCCGGGGACCCCATCTTGCTCTTCCCGTTGTCTGGACACCCCTGCCCGCGCCGGGGGGGCTGAATGCCATGGGTGGAGGGCACAGGTCCCAGGCCCGCCAACGCTCCCCTACCTTCGCCCGGGCCCGTGGTGACATTGGCCTCGATCTCGGGCCCGTAGGTGAAGGTCTTGGCTCTGATGCGGAACCGGTAGGTCATGCCCTCCGCCAGGTCCTTCACCTTCAGCCACAGGGGGCTGTTCCCCTTCACGTCCACCGTCACGATCTTGCTGACTCCTGGGGGGAAAGCAGAGGATGTGGGCACTGTGGGGCCGGCGGGGCCCTGGGGGCGGGGGCAGCGGACACCACCAGGGCCAAAGCCCCTTGGCACGAGGCCAGGCTGGCACCCTCGGGCACACAGCAGTGACTCCCAGACTGATTCTCAGGCCACAGTCCTCCAGGCTGTGCCTAGGCCGTGGTCGGCAAACTGCGGCTCATGAGCCACATGCGGCTCTTTGGCCCCTTGAGTGTGGCTCTTCCTAAGCCTTAGGAGTACCCTAATTAAGTTAATAACCATGTACCTACCTATATAGTTTAAGTTTAACAAATTTGGCTCTCAAAAGAAACTTCAATGGTTGTACTGTTGATATTTGGCTCTGTTGACTGATGAGTTTGCCGACCCCTGCCCTAAACCCAGCCTGCTGGGGC